TGATGCCATGGCATTCTACCCAGGGGGATAGCTTGAGGCTCTGTCTCAAAAAAAAAAAAAAAAAAAGTTGAGGATGTGGAAAAATTGGAACTCTTATGCATTGCTTGTGGGAATGTAAGATAGTCTAGCCACTGTGGAAAGCAATATAGCAGTTTCTCAAAAAATTAAATATAGAGTTACCCTGTGATCTGACAATTCCACTTTTAGGTCTATACCACAAAGAATTGAAAACAGGGACTCAAACATGTATTTGTACCTCCATGTTCACAGCAGCATTATTCACAGTAGCCAAAAGATGGAAGCAACTCACGTGTCCATTGACAGATGAATGGACAAACAAATGTGGTATATTCTTACAATGGAATATTATTCAGCCTTAAAAAGGAAGGAAATTTTTATATGTATTATGACACAGATGAACCTTGAAGACATTATTCCAAATGAAATAAGCTAGCCACAAAAGGACAAACAGTATATGATTCCACTTATATGAGGTACATAGAATAGCTGAAATCATAGAGACAGAAAGTTGAACAGTGGTTGCTGGGGGGTGGGGGGAGGATGTAATGGAAGTTAATGTTCAATAGGTATTAAGTTTCATTGCAAGATGATGAGAGTTCTGGAAATGGATGATGGTGGTGGTTGTACCTAAGATAAATCTTTGTCTACTCTAAGGTCACAAAATATGTTTCTTATCTTTCCTTCTAAAGATTTTATAGTGTTTTTTTTTTTTTTGAGACAGAGTCTCACTTTTGCCCTTGGTAGAGTGCCCTGGTGTCAAAGCTTACAGCAGCCTCAAACTCTTGAGCTTAAGGATTCTCTTGCCTCATCCTCCCAAGTAGCTGGGACTATAGGCACCTGCCACAACACCCAGCTATTTTTTGGTTGTAGTTGTCATTGTTTGGCAGGCCCGGGCTGGGTTCAAACCTGCCTGCTCTGGTGTATGTGGCTGGAGCTCTAGCTGCTGAGCTATAGGTATAGGCATGAGCGTAAAGATTTTATAGTTTTAACTTTTACATTTAGATTTATGATCTATTGCAGATCATTTTTATATATTCTGTGAGGTAAGGGTTGAGGTTCATTCATTTCCAAGCATATATCTGGTTATTCCAGAACCATTTGTTGAAAGAGTTATTTCCTTATTGAATTATGGTGGCATCTTTATTAAAATCAGTTATGTGGGCCTACTTCTGGACTTTCTAGTCTTTCTATTAGTCTATGGGTTTGTTCTTAGGATAATCTACATGATAGCTTTATAATAATGCTATAATAATGCTTTCATGATAGCTTGAAATCAGAAAGTGTAACACCTCCAACTTTTTAGACTTTTTTTCTTTCAAAGTTATTTTGGCTATTCTAGGTCTTTTGCATTTCCATATATATTTTAGAATCAGCTTGTCAATTTTATTTTAAATGCCTGGTAGGTTTTTGATTGGGATGGCATAGAAGAATCTGAAAATCAATTTAGGGAGAATTTTTACTTTAACAATATTGAGCCCTCTAATTTATGAATATGATACATCTTTCTATAATATGTATTTATGTCTTCTTTAATTTATCTCAAAAATATTTTAAATTAAGTCTTTTAGTGTACAGATATCATACACATTTAATTATATTTGTTCTTTGTAAAACCCCAAATATGATTTATATACTATCCAATTTACATGCCCTTTTAAACTGTACAATTCAGTTGTTTTAGTATAGTCACAACATTGTGCAATTATCACTATTATCTAATTCTAGGACATTTTCTTCATCCCAAAAAGAAACTCTATACTCATTAGTATTTATTCCCTATTTCCCTCTTCCCCAGTCCCTGACAACCACTAAACTACTCTCTGTCTCTATGAATTTACCTATCTTGTACATTTTACATAAATGGAACCTTACAGTATGTTGCCTTTTTTGTCTGACTTCTTTCAATTAGTATAATGTTTTCAAAGTTCATTCATATTATAGCACAGATCAGTGCTTTATTCTTTTCTATGCCTGCATAGTTTTTAAATTAATTACATTTAATTTAATGTACTTAAATTAAAACCACATATATTACATTTTGTTTATTCATCGATTGGACATTTGATAGTTTCCACTTTGTGGCTATTATAATAACACTTCCATGAACATTCATATACAAGTTGTGTGGACATATTTTCATTCCTCTGAGGAATATACCTAAGAGTGGAATTATTGGGTCATATGTTAACTCTACATTTAACCTTCTAAGGAACTGCCAGATGGTTTTCCAATACAGATGTGACATTTTCCATTTCCATCAACAATGTATAAGGGTTGCAATTTCTATATACATCATGAACAACACTTGTTATTTATGTCTTTTGTATTATAGCCATTCTGGGAGGAATGAAGTAGTATTTCAATATAGTTTTGATTTGCATATTTGAACAGCTAATGATATCAAGCATCAGTTTTTTATTTGCTTATTGGCCATTTGTATATATATTCTTTATAAAATGTTCATTCAGATCCTTGGCCAATTTTTAATGTACTTATCTATCCTTTTACTATTGAGTTGCAGGAGCTCTTTATGTATTTTATATATTATTCTATATTATGGGTTGAATTGTGCTCCCCCCAAATATGTTGAAGTCCTAACCCCTAGAACCTGTGAATATGACATTGTTCAGAAATAGGATCTTTGCAAGTTTAATCAAACGAGCCATTAGAGCATGCCCTAATCCAATATGACTGGTGCAGTTATAACAAGAAGAAGTGCCATGTGAAGGCAGCCATACATGGGGGAAATGCTGTGTGATGATATAGGCCAGGCGTCCTCAAACTGCGGCCTGTGGGCCACATGCAGCCTGCCAAGGACATTTATCCAGCCCGCCGGGTGTCTTTGCCACCACTGCCTGTCCTGCTTAGCAGCCGACTCGTCCCAGGGCCCGTATTCTGGCCCTCCAACGGTCTGAGGGACAATGAACTGGCCCCCTGTTTAAAAAGTTGAGGACTCCTGATATAGGCAGTGACTGGAGTGATGCATCTACCAACCAAGGAGCACCAAGGATCTATAACCACCACCAGAAGGCAGGGAGAAGTGAAAAAAGGATTTCTAGCCGTTAGAACTTGTATGAGAATACATTTTTATTGTTTTAAGCCATCCAGTTTGTATGACTTTGTTAGGATAACCCTAGAAAACCAATACAGATTTTGGTACCTGAAAGTAGGTTGCTTATGTGACAAATATGTAAAAATGTGGTAATGACTTTGAAATTGAATAATGTGTAAAAGCTGGAAGAATTTTGACTCACTTAATATAAAATGCCTAGATTGCTTTGAAGAGATTGTTGATAGAAATATGGAATTTTGGAAGGCCAATGGCAGAATGCTATAGTTCCCTCGATAATTCATGTTAAAATTTAGACCCGGCTCGGCGCCTATAGCTCAACCAGCTAAGGCGCCAGCCATGTACACCTAAGGTGGAGGGTTCAAATTCCCAGCCCGGACCGCCAAACAACAATGACGGCTGCAACCAAAAAATAGCCGGGCGTTGTGGCAGGCGCCTGTGGTCCCAGCTACTTGGGAGGCGGAGGCAGGAGACTTGCTTGAGCCCAGGAGTTGGAGGTTGCT